GCTGGGCAGGGCCCGGCCCGGGTTGGGGGGACGTACCCCCTGCCTGCAGCGCGGCCTCGGCACGGTGGGACATGTCAGTCACCTTCAGTAAACCCCCCAACCCGCAGCCGCGTTGTGGGCTCAAAGCCGTGCAGGGGGTGCGGGAGAGTTGAGTGTGGCCCCGGTGCAGCTGCGGGCCTGAGGCCCACCTGAGGCTTGAGTGGGAAACCAGCGGGGCCTGCCGTGGGTCCATGTCCTGTCCCCACCTCAACGGATGGGGAGGCTTTTTGAGTCGGGTCCTCACGCCTGGGGGCTCTGCCCTGGGGGTGACGGGCTGGTGGGAGGCTGTGTCACGGTGTGTTGTGGTGTGTTGGGCCGTGTCGTGGTGTATCGGGCCGTGTAGCGGTGTGTTAGGCCATGTCACAGCATGTTGGGCCATGTTGTGATGTGGCGGGCCATGTTGCAGTGTGTCAGGCCGTGTTGCGGTGTGTTGGGCCAAGTTGCAGTGTGTCAGGCCATGTTGCGGTGTGTTGGGCCATATTGCGGCGTGGCAGGCCATGTTGTGATGTGTTGGGCTGTATCACAGCATGTCAGCCCATGTCGTGGCGTGTCAGCCCGTGTCATGGTGTGTCAGGCCGTGTCACGGTGTGTTGGGCCATATCACGGTGTGGCAGCCTGTGTCATGGCATGTCAGGCCATGTCGTGGTGTGGCATCATGTGTTGCGGCTGCTCTGCGGCAGCACGAGGCCATGTGGCCCTTCCCCAGCCCGGGGTGGGGGGCTGCTGGCCCTCCCGGTGGCCGTGGGGCTCTGTGCCCCGAGGGTGGGTGGCTGGGTGCCCTCCCCGGGCGCGTGGTGGCCCAGTGGCTGCGGTGGCTGAGCGAGGCGGGCAGCCCCGCTTTGTGCGGGTAACTTGATGCTGATGACAGTTGGCAGCTGCAGTTCCCCCGGCCGGCCCAGGCAAATAAAAGCATCAGGGCTCGTCCCCGAGGGGAGCGACAGGTGTTCGCTCCCGCTCCTTTGTTTCCCTCCTTTTATTCTCCTCGCTAATGCATGTCATATTTTTACCGCCCGAGGAAACGGGAGACGCGTCCCCCGCTTGAATCGGCGGAGACGTGCGCTCGCCCCCCCGTTACGTGTCCAGCATAGCTCCCCTCCCTCCTTCATTTCACCCTGCAAAATTTGCCCAGGGAAAACCCTCAGGTTTTGGTGGTGCTGAGTTTTTCTTTGCTGAGAGGTCCGGCATGAGCCGGTGTGCCCAGGGCTGCTCAGAGAGCCCCGGGACCCCCGGCACTATTGCTTTTTACTGATCCACGTCTGCAGGTTGGTGTCTGACCCATCCCCCATGGTCCAGCGGGTGATGGCACGTGCTCTGAGATAGACCGGGGTAGTTCTTCGTTGGTCCCGCTATTACTTAATGCTGCTTTTCATCTTCAAAGCACTATATAAACAATATGCTAATCCACGTCCGATCAAAGAGCACGCCTGGATAGAGATGTTCAGCCCCACCACCTCACAGCCATGGTAGAGGAGCTCATCAGAGAGAAAGCTGGCACATGGGACATCTTGGCTGAGGACCTAAGCTCAGAACACTCTGAGCTTTTTGTATCACCACGGACAGGAGACTATATCTTTGGAAAGGTGTTTCTGTCAAGTTTCTTCCTTTTATTTTAAAGCAACGATGCTTAGATTTTGGCAAAGACTTTGGTCTGTGGGGTGACACATTTCCTTGCACCAGGCAGGAGCATCCTGGGGTGGATGATGGAATCTGTCCTTCTGCTTCCAATGCACCCAACACCTCGTGTAACGCAGTGTGGAAACTGGCTCATCCCTTTCATTGATACCGTTAACACAGACTAAGCAGAAATGCTGTTTAGGCCAGGCCAGGTACATAGCATTTTGGTCTTTAAGCGAGTAGAGACACCTGTGACTGCATCTTATGTATAATTTATTCATTGTTAGCCTAAATAGGAGGGGAAAAAAGACAATTGTATGGGTGCAAACTATGGCAGAGTAATGGGTGTTGTGGTTTTGAAGGTGCCATCTTTGTTCTGAACCAGAGATGAACGCCACAAATACACACATGTTTATAAAATGTGCATTAGCAAACTGAAGGTATGTAATCACGTGGAAAAAGATGAACCCCAAGAGTTTGTGAGCTTGTTTTCTCTTCAGAGAAAGCTTGGCTTTTCCCAGAATACACAAGCAGAGAGGCTCAAGCCCTGGGTTTTTACACAAGAAACATTGCACCGCTGTGGCTACTGACACAGCCCCAAAATCTGTCAGGCCTCTCTACTGCAGTTTATATCGGTTGTGTTTCAGAGCTAGCTTAGAGATGCTGCAGCATTAATCTAGGAAAACGTTGGAGTGAAGGAGCTCCCGAATTCACCCGGGTCATAGTTCAGATGTGTCGGATCTTGGGTGATGAAACGCTGGCGGACGCCCAACAGCGGTGATTTCTTACAAGCTTCAGATCTGCACGTCGGATCTTGGGTGATGAAACGCTGGCGGATGCCCAACAGCATGATTTCCTACAAGCTTCAGATCTGCATGTTTTTGAATGGTGAGGAGGCACAGGGTGAGGACTTCTGGATGCACGAGAAGAGGAGACTCCGGCAGCGGGCTGGCAAATCTTGGCCAAGAATGGCCAGAGGGAGTTGGCCGTGGCTATAACATCCTATTTCTGTCCTGACTTGGTGGGCGCTGATGGTGAGGTATTATATACATTGCCAGCTCTTGCTCTGCAGCATGTGCTTCTGTATCTTCTTTGAAAAGCTGTGGGTCAAACGAGTTGACAAATGCTGGAGCCGTTTGTGCTGGGCATGAAAAATGTATGTGCCATAAATATCAGGGCATTACTAGAGCTGCCGTTCTGGAGGAGGAAGCCACCGCAGGCTATCTGCTCTAGCCTACAGGGGTAATGTGACATTTTTGTGCCACTTTAAACAAGTTCCGTCACATCAGGTGAAGCAATTCATGATAACCTCATGCATTTTAATGGAAATGTCAACTGCAATCTAATAAAAGAAAATGTTCCTTAGATGCCTTGTCGTGTACCTCAGTGCTTGCCCATGCACGGCGGTTCCTGAAGGAGAATTCAGCAAACCCATCAGCTTACCCATGTCCTTCTTTCCAGGTTGAACCAACCCACCCTGCTGCCTGCTGATGGTGGGGTGTGTGGGCTCTGCTCTCTCCTCAAAGGAGGGTGGGAGTTTAGCCTTTGCTAGAGCAGGGGGCTCCATCCTGCCAGTGGCTGGTGCTCCCACACGTGATATAAAGTAGTTTAGCTGAGGAGGGGCATAGTTTTAGCAGAGACGTGGGATCAGTGCCTTGTTGCGTGTGTTTTCCTGCAAGTCCACGCGTAGAGCAGTATAACACAGGATATAATACCAGCTTCTAATTCTTTGTAGATCACATATGAACGCTGACGCAGCTGCGGTGACAGTGGCAAAGGCAGCTGTGGGAGGCAATCCTGCAGCCTCAGCTACTCGCCGTGTGTTCTGGAGGCAAACGCTCCTGAGATGGGGGCGTCTGTCATGTAATGCCTCACACGCTTCTGTTGGAGATATCAGGTGCATTTGGAAGGTCTCCGGCTCCCAGAAGAAGCGCCCCAGAGACATAATGCAACTCTGGAAAGTTTTCAGGACTCTACAGGCAAGTGTGCTACCATCCTGTTCTTGAGCTTGAGTCAGCAGGTCACCCAGGCTCTCCGTGGATAATATAATCAGAGCGCGGAATAAAGACATGATGAGCATGGACAAGGTCCATTGGAAATGCTTGAGTAGTTTCTTTCATAAATGGTATAACATCTGTTGTCTTCGGAGGCACAAGTTCCTGTCAAAGAGACACGTCAGCCTTATAAATATTAATGGTGCATATAAATGGTGGTGGGTGTGAACTGTGGCGGATGTTAGGTTAATGGGTGAATTGCTCCGTAGGCATCAGTTTGCTGTCATCGTACTTATTTCTACACTAACAAATACAAACTGTTTAGGTGGCGGAGCCAGCAAAGAGCTATCTTCCCCCTCCTCCTCTCCCTGGGGTCCCTTCACAAATGAAATGTGTGCTGTAATTAGTCTTCCTGCCTTGTCTCTGGTGAAAATTAGTCCTGCTCCCAGAACTGAGGGAGAGGGGAGCATGCCTGGTGCTGGAAGAGCTGAGGGCTGAGGGTGACAAATGAAGCGAATGGTGAAGGCTGTTAAAGAAGTTTGCAGCGTTCCCCATCAGCTTGATCCTAGTTGCCTTTAGTGCTATCGATTTCTCTGCTGTTAAAAGCAGATGTTTAAGAGGAAAATCGAGTTGAATATCGCCACTGAGCTGCTCTTGGACTAGAATCTGTTTGTTACTGTAAATTGCGTTTGCTGCCTTGAGCCTTGAGTTTCTGTTGCGCCTTTCAAAAACCATAAGGCTTTTCCTATCCTTTTTTATTTATTTATTTATCAGCAGATTTGGCAGCAGCGCTTGTGTTCATCGGCTGGGGCACAGAGAACAGCTCACGCCAGCCACAGTGCTAATGAGTAGTGTTCAAAAGGGTCTTATGTCTGTTCACAGAAGAGCCCCACGACTGAGGCTGCTGCCTGCAGAGGCTCAGGTTTCCCTTTGGCTGAGAGGATGGGCCCTGCTTTCTGCCATTTCAAAGGTATTCCTGGTGGTACTCACATGCAACACAGGGTGAGGGGCTGTGCTGGGCAAGCAGTGAGGAGAGCAGAGCCTCTCCCCCGGGGGGGGAGTGATGGATGGGTGTTGTGCTTTGGGGGGGTCTCCCCAACAAAACCCTGTGTGCTGCTTCTGTTGCCTTGTCATTCCTTCCCCTCGACCTGTCGGGCTCTGGTAGAGAGATGTCTGAACTCATACATCAGCGCAAACTGCTTCAACTCCTGCCATGTAGCCTGTGGTCCGTTACCGGTGACCGTGGCAGGGTCCCGTGTCCTGTGAGGTTAGAGGGACCGTCGCTTGGTCACGCTGTGTTTGTGGAAGTTATTTGAGGGAGGTGGGAATAACTATCTGAAGCAAGTACAGAGTTTTTGTCAGTTGGCTTAAAAAAACAATAATCTGCCTGTGATGCTTCAGGGAGCAGTTTAGTGGTGTTTCCAGGGAAGCCTCTATTTGATTTCTCTACTATTTTTGGTATTTGAAAGCTATCCTCATGATGGGGCTGACTTCATCACAGGCTTTATCCTATCTTTGTAACAGTGATGCGTATCTCACTGGTCCTCCTCTGCAAGATATTGTTGTTAGTTCCTAAAATGATCTACAAGCATCCTCGTTAAAGCCCATTTTCTGCAGAGAAGGTGCTGAATCCCTCAAACACAACCCCAACTAAGGCTGAAAGCTGCTTTAAGTGCGTGCCCTTGAGAGTGTATTTCTCTGGACGTGCGGTGCGTGGCCAGGGTAACTCCCAGGCTGTACCTCTGGCAATGACGCTCCAACTTTGTTGATAGGACACAAGTTTTATTTTTATCAGATTAACACGTACATAATCAGGCTCTGAACTTTGCTCCCCTGCGTTTTGTGAAATGCTCTGGAAAGTGCCTGCTTCCACAGTCTCTTTGGGGTTTGCCTTCACATTGCACATGATATATCTGCACAGGGGGGAAAAAGCCTCATGCTCTCAGGAGGGTGTTTGTGAGAGCCTTTTTATCAATGGCAGAATACCTTCTGTGGTCAGTTGCAATAAACACTGATCTTTTCTAAATCAAAATAAGAAACATTTTACAGCAAGAGGCCAATCCCCTTTACTTGAGAGTCCTGATACCCATTTTGGGTATTTTGTAAAAACACTGGGTTTGACCCTATCGCAAGAGAGACCTCAAATTGCACAGATGCATTTCCTGGAGATACCCATGGACAACCTGGGACCTGCCAGCAGTAACAGATATTTGTGGATCTTGTCTTAACTCCTCCTCCTACTCTGGCCTGGTTGTTTCTCCAAGGAGGTGACACTTTATATCCCAGAATCCTTTTAATGGTATGGAAAAGGACTGTTTTGAGGACTTGGTCTATCGAGCGCTGTGGAAGAAGATGTCTTTTAACTACACTAAGTTTAGAGTTGATTTTAGCCTTGCTGTCCTACACAGCTCATTTACTTAGCATATTGCTCAGCTGATTTATGTTGGTGGTTGAGTCGCTTAATCCGCTGAAGAAGCTCCTTATGTCCATTTTGGTGAGGAGCCATCGTGTAGAGTGATGCATTGATGGGAGATTGCGTGAAGAAAACTTAGTGAGCAGGTTTGAAAGAGGTGATGAGTGCTGTCATTCCTTCCTCTCCATACGTGTTTGCTCTTCTTTCTGGAGAAGCTTAGCACAGTTTAAGAGGAGTAGAATGTTTTTGAATACTTGGACTGAGAAATAGCTCTGGAACTTCAGCACAGAGAAACATAACCCCTACAAGGTGCTTTCTGATGCAGGCAATGTATGGTTGAACCCAGTAAGCTACAGAGCAAGGGGATGCTGCTGGCTGGAAACCTGCTGCCTCCAGTTCAACTGGGAGACCAATGTGGAGCTGGCAGTTCGGTCCCAGTAAATGTCCTTTGGGCTACTTGTGGGTGTCATTAATGGGGTGGAAACAAAAGCATTCAAAGACATTGCAAACTATGGGTAGTTATATTGTCTCTGGATGGGGCAGTGACTGTTTTCTGCCTGGCTCTCCTGTTCCCAAAGGCTTGTTGGGTTCCCAAGGCTCATGAATGTGATGCAGGATTACAACTTGTAGAGGAGAATGTAATTCCTCTCCTTGGATAGTCGTTTTTCTTCATGTCCTTTTCCAGTGGGACATAAGAGTTGCAGGAAAATGCAAGATGTCTTTCTGCTGCTTTCTGTGTGCTGACTTTCCATCATGTGGGGCTGCTCAGTACTTCCACTCACCTCTCAGCAGTCATGGGGTGGTGGTGGAAGGGACCTTCGGAGGGCCGAAGTGAAGGTGCTATGCCTCCAAAATCTGTAAGAAATGCCCTGTGTCACCAGGCACAGGGCATTGTAGCCAGCTCATCTGACTGGACACAAATCACATAAGCAAAAAAGCTCAGGAAAGAGCAACGGCATCTCAAGAAGTCAGGAACATCATGAGGGCTCTTGTTTGTGCTATGCAGGGTGACTTAAAAGAGAAAAAAATGCTAGTTCATATAAAACAGTATTATTTTTTCTAGAGAATTAAAAATGCTTTATTCTATATTGGTGGTTGGTTTGTTTTTCTAAGCTCTGGAGAAAGGGCAGGTCTGTGCTCTGCAGCGTGCCTTGTTTTGTGGAGCACTTTAGGAAGGGGTTCATTTACTTGACGAATTCAGGATCCAGTTTAACTGGACTCTGAAATTGCTATTTTTGGGGGGGAAGCCATTTTATTGGCTTCTGGGGATTACTTGATGTTCTCTGAACTCCAGTAAAAATTTCTTAGCACAGCTGTAGCTTCTGTGTCCTTGCAATTAATAGACAAATGCCAAGTTTGCACACATGCACAAACAGGGACTTCTGAACAAAGTGGTAGGACTAGATCCACTGGAGGCTGGTGCATGTTGCTGTGTCAAATAAAACTCCCAATGATATACGGCCTAAAACTGTAATTAGAGGGCAGCTCTGGAAAACAACATAGAAACCGAAAATGCAGGCAACTTTGGTACACTGTCTCAGTTACTCTTCTTGGTTTCCTTCCCTCCGACCCCTTTCAGAGGTGTGGTATGTGGTCTGCCAGGGCTGCCTGAGAGCTGGGGTGGCTTGTCCCCGGAGCTGCTGAGCTGTCGGGCTTCCAGCAGGCTCATTTGACAACTGTATCATCTAAACTGTCTACGGATAAAAGTAGGGTAATGAAAGGTAGGAGACCAAGCATTTGAAGAGCTGCTTGTCCTTGGTTAAGTGTTTGGTGAGTAATAAGGAATTCAAAGAGCAAGATGTTGGGGAGCAAGGGCTCTGGGGTTGTGGCTGGTGGCTTCCTAAGCACATTTGTGTCACAAGATGCATGTGCTGGAGAAGTTGCAGAAGGTGGCCCTTGCTCCAGGTGGTCTATAAAATGCCCCTGGCTTATAGGGGTATATAGCACAAAGTATGTTAGGGATGTGGTTTCAGGCCATAGCAGGGAAATTGCTAAAGCCTGGCTTTAGAGACACCTCCAGCCCCTGCTCTGCTGGCCATCTACTCTGACGCCTCCCTTAGCTTTGTTCTTGGAGGCTTTCTGGCACAGCTTTGCTAGACTTCAGGCTGTGAGGAGAAAACAGCTTGTCAGTCCCACACCTCTGTGCTTTGTGCCTGGGATCAAACCATTCACCTGCAAGATGCAAGATGAAGCAGTTGGCCAACACCAAACCCACAGCTGCCTGGTCTTGAGCAGAGCCCACTTCCTGTCTCTAACACCCATAATTAGAGGTAAGCCCAGAAGGAGAAACAAGAGTGATTCCTTGAAGAGCTCATCTGGAGGATCAGGAAGGACAGAGCGGATGGCTTCGGTACAAGCTCTGAGGTAGGCTGGGTGGAGTCAACCCTCAGGCTTGACCCTAAATGTCAATGTAAACAGGTCCTCTGGGGACTTTCATTATGGAAAGCAAGGGCAAAACTGCAAGTCCCTACCTGTCAGTCCTTGAAATTCAAACAGCCCAGGTTGGGCAGGTAGGGCTGAGCTCCAGCTGCCTGAGAAAAGCCTTGGCCTCACCTCAACAAGAACGGGTAGCTCGCTCAGCCCTGGGCATGGCAGGGACCTGCAGTGTAGTGGCTGGACAGTGAAACTACTGAAGAGTGAGGACCCAAGTGACCATGGGTGACAGACCAGCAAGGATAGACCAAGGCAGTGCAGGATCGAATGTGGAACAACAGGTCACAGCATCCTCTGGGAGAGAGTCCTCAGAGATGCTGATGCTGTTCCTCATGGAGCAAGAAGGCAGGCCCTTTGGGTCTGGCACCAGACTCCATAAGATGAGGGCCCTTCTGTTTGGGCAGGATGTAAGCTTGCCCCGCTGCCTGCCAGCTCTTCCTTGTTGTGAAGCCCAGGAGGGCTGTTTTGACTATTGAACATGTTTCTGCCTGGTGTTGTGATGACAGCCTCTGTTCTGGTCATGTCACATGTTGTGGCATCCTGAACTCCTTCCGTTTCTCATCTTTCTTCCTCCCATGTCTCCTGGACAGCTTTGCACCCTCCTTTTTAGCTTCAGTGTCTCCCCGCAGCCCTGCTGACACTGTCGTCTCTCCAAAACCCCTTCCTGTTTTCTAGGGTTTTCTTTTCTAAGAAAAGTTCCTTTATTATGATGGCTATTTTGGTTTTATGTATTCATTCGCTGCCTGCCAGCTCTTCCTTGTTGTGAAGAGCAATATGAGGGCCCTTCTGTTTGGGCAGGATGTAAGCTTGCCCCGCTGCCTGCCAGCTCTTCCTTGTTGTGAAGCCCAGGAGGGCTGTTTTGACTATTGAACATGTTTCTGCCTGGTGTTGTGATGACAGCCTCTGTTCTGGTCATGTCACATGTTGTGGCATCCTGAACTCCTTCCGTTTCTCATCTTTCTTCCTCCCATGTCTCCTGGACAGCTTTGCACCCTCCTTTTTAGCTTCAGTGTCTCCCCACAGCCCTGCTGACACTGTCGTCTCTCCAAAACCCCTTCCTGTTTTCTAGGGTTTTCTTTTCTAAGAAAAGTTCCTTTATTATGATGGCTATTTTGGTTTTATGTATTCATTTATTTCTTATGGCTTTATATAGAAGAAAAGAGTTGCAAAGAGAAGAAGGAACTTAAACATGTACCTTCTAAATGTTTATTTCTTATGGCTTTATATAGAAGAAAAAAGTTGCAAAGAGAAGAGCTGAGCTCCAAGAAGGAACTTAAACATCTACCTTCTAAACATAGTGCCTGAGAGTTAAGTCTCTTGAAAGGGAGGTTTGACAAATCCATGTGCTTAGCAAGAAGCTGTCTGGAAATTATCAGTAGGACATTGGATGGGTGTATCTGAAGCCCTCCCAATCCCTGGAGCTGATTGAAGGCTTCAGACAGGTTCTCATCCATTCTGGATCTAGATCCATGTCGTAAGGGTGGGCAGGCACAGCGCTCCTGAGCAGCTCTGCTTCCATCAGGATAGGCATTGCCTTTGTTGTCACAGGCTCTTGGCAAGCCCAGGTCCTGCGTCAAGGAGGAGACTTGCTTTCAATTTTTCCTTTCAGGCCAGGCAAACCCACCTCTTGGGACTGTGATAGTGGGGAGGGAAGGGGGACGTGGGCTGTGGGCTAGCGGTTAAGAAAGGGGAACTGTTGTTTCATGTCCTGACTCCAAGGCCTGCTTTTATTGGTTTTGTGTCGTGTTTTCTAGGAAGAGGCTTTATGATGTTTGTGTTCGGGCCTGTGTAGGGAGGGCAATTGACTGATTTACTGTAGTGCCATCAGTCTCTTTGTTGTATCAATAAAGTTATTTGCACAGAATTCATCTGAAGGAGGAAGTGATCTTGAAAGCCTCTGGTCTAAATCAGAGTTTCCTGCTCCTTTTCCAAACTGAGCCACTACCTGAGGCTTCCCAAGGTTGGAGGGGTCCTCACATGGCATGTGGGGGGCAGAGGAAACATCCATCGGTACTCGTAGCAGATTGCTGTCCCATGCAGCAGTGTGAGCAGGGCTGACATCCTGGACCCACACGCTGTGCATTTGAGCATCTCATCACGTTTCCTGCTCCTTTTCCAAACTGAGCCACTGCCTGAGGCTTCCCGAGGTTAGAGGGGTCCCCCCATGGTGTGTGGGGGACAGAGGAAGCATCAATTGGTACTTGTAGCAGATTGCTGCCCCGGTGCAGCAGCGTGAGCAGGGCTGACATCCTGGACCCACACGCTGTGCATTTGAGCATCTCATCACTAGATGATGGAGCACTGCTCAGGGATCACGTTGCTCTTCTTTTGCAAATTATTAAAAGTTCTCTTTTCACCCTAGACTGCCCAGTATTTCACTACAATGCCTCTTCCATGGTCCTGCTGGGTACAAATTGACCGTGTAAGACTACCCAGCATCAGGCTGCTTCTGAGCTCCAGAAATGCTAACAGCTGGACTGGATTTGTGCCAATAGCAAGTGGAGTAACGTCCAGTTCTAGGACCCGAGGTGAGAAGGGTTGTGAGAACATGGAGGGGGTCTGGTAGAGAACTACCAACATGGTCAGGACCTGGGCAAAGGGGGCTTGTTTAGTCTGGTCAAGAGGAGGCTGAAGGGAATCTAGCAACATCGCACGGCTAC